TCCAGGGGAGCTGTGTGTGTTTTTCCACAGGAGGAAGAAAACCCCCTGTGGATCCCTGAAAGACTCACTCGAAGAGCTCCTTCACAACTCCAGAATAAGAAGGATGGAGGCCAAGTGGGTGATGAAGACTCTCCTACTCGGGATGATGGTTCCTAGTATGATGGGAGAGTTACGGTGGGCCATCATGTCTACCTTCCCCTACCGATGCCAGTGATGCATAATGCCCAGGTGTTCCCTAGATTTTTCACAACTAATAGAGAGTTGGGGCTTGCCTTTTTGCCTTTAGATCCTCAGATACAGAGTTTTCAGGATGAGAGAACCTTGTCATTGGTAGGAAGCTTGTGCTTTACTGTGATTTCTTCATTAAAGGATAATTTTATTCATATGGATCCAGAAAGATCTAATGCTAATCCTTTTGAATTAATGGAAGCTGTACTGATCTTTCTCCTATGGCAATGATTGCTGGAGGATATAGTGAGAAGGGACAGATTACTTTTGATTGGAAAGGGGCATTAGGCAACAGTCTGAGTGAGGGACAGAGCTCTGGATCATCTGATTGGTCCTCCTCCAATGTTAAGTATACCCCTTTTAAGAGAACTAATTATTCAGCTGCTCCAATTTGTGTTTGGCTGCCCTTTATTTGGGTTGTGAGTAATGATACCTTAGGTAAGAATCAGAAAGAAATAAATTGCTCTGCTTAGAATTGTTTTTATGCATTATGCTGGGATGCTATTAAGCACCCTTTTGCTTTGGTAATGCGCATGCCTCGATTTGTTCCAGTTCCTGTTGAGGTGCCAAGTAGTTTGAGTTTGTTTAGGGAAAAGCGAGATTTTTGGGATCTCTGCTATTATTGTGGGCCTGATAGCCGCCGCCGCGGTTACTGCTTCGGTTACCGCCTCGGCCCTTGCACTTTCCGCCACTGTGCAGACAACTCAAACCATTAATGAACTATCGGCCACTGTGACCATGGCCCTAGATAAACAGGCCACTGCCAATTCTCAGATACAAGGAGGCCTGATGTTGGTAAACCAACAGATTAATTTGGTTCAGGAACAATTGGATATATTGTGGCAGATGGCCCAATTGGGATGTGAACAAAAGTTGCCTGGCCTTTGTGTCACTTCAGTACAATATGAGAATTTTACAAGAGCAGCTAACCTGTCAAAAGCTCTGTCTCAACATTTATTACAGAATTGGACTTTTGAGTTTGAGCAGACACTCCGTGAGTTGAGAGTGGCGATCCTGCAAGTGAATTCGACGCGTCTGGATCTTTCTCTGATGGAAGGCCTCTCCTCCTGGATTTCATCTGCATTTTCTTATTTTAAGGAATGGGTGGGGGTGGGATCATTTAGCCTAGTTCTCTGCTGTGGAATAGTGTTGATGCTTTGGATGGTGTGTAAGCTCAGAGCCCAAACAAAAGAGACAAAGTGATGGTGGCACAAGCACTTGCTGCCTTAGAACACGGAGCCTCCCCTGACATTTGGTTAACCATGTTAAAGCAATAGGTCGCTGGCCTCCCGGCTCTTGCACCCCACGAGGCTAGTCTCATTGCACGGGATAGAGTGGGTAGGCTTCAGCAGCCCAAGGAGTTGCAAGGCTAAGCACTGCACAGGAGAGGTCTGCGGTATAACGACTTTCTCCTGGGAGATAAGTCATCTTGCATGAAGGTTCTATGTCATGATCTCCTTCCCCCAGAAAAACGACATCGGGACTGGTCAGGGCTCCCTCTGGGGATAAGACCCTGGAGAGGAGCTTTGTACATGTTCCAAATTTGCACATGGGGATTTGACCTCTATCTCCACTCCAAAGTTGTGGGTGTCCTATGGCTTCAAAAATAAATGAATAGGGGGAGATGTGAGGAGCCACCCTCGCTATCGCTATCGCCATTAGAAGATGGCGCTGACATCCGCTGTCAGTTGGAGTTCACCGTTTAAGCTGTGCCTCTCCCGTGGCGTCATCTGGGGTGATGAGCAAACCACCAATCCCGGCTCTACACGTCTCACTCGGAGCTCCTAGGCTTATATAAGGGGCTGGGTTTCTTAGCTTGGGGTCTCCCTCTCAGAAGCTGATCATCTATCTCTCAAGATGTATTAAAGCTTTACTGCAGAAGGATCCGAGTGTCCTGCGTCGTTCTTGCTGGCGAGACGGTAGCGCGGGACACCCACCCCTTACCACCACAAGCCTGTCCAGGAGGACTTCTTGCAAAAAGGGCCCACTGCAGGAGAAAAGGGACTCCAAGGAGGCATAGCCCAGGGAGCAATGCACAGGTGGCATCACAGAGGCCAGGAGAGGCTGAATCATGCAGGAAGGGCTTGTAGGACTAGTTTGCAAGAAAACTGCAAAATTGCCAAGACAAATAGCTTTAGTAAACAATATGGCTCTGTCCTCGAGTTTGTAGTCTCTAGCTGTCCTAGCTTGGAGCTTAAAAACAGAAAAGTAAAGTAGGGAATCCTGTTGCAAATGGGGAATTTTTTAAGAGCCACCCAGATACTAGGCTCATGGTGGCCTTGGGGACACGTGTTTCTTGATAAATATACGCAATGGGCTCCTAGCGATTTAAAATTACATCAGTCCTGTAAAGGGCAGCCGGACACATATTGCACTCCATCTGGATTCAGAGACTTACCTTGGATGGCCTGATGGCCAGGGGCAGCTCACTACTGGACAGACTGACAGGGACAGACAGGCAGGTCAGAAACATTTGAAAGTCGTTTCCCTGAAGGTGCCCAACACGACTTACTGTCTCGTTCTTTCCCTTTTCCTTCTTTTGCTCTTTTGTCTCTTTCTTCCTTCCTTTCTCTTCTTTCTCTCTCTCCTTCCTTCCTTTCTTTCTTTTTCTGGAGAACAGAGGGTGGAGCTATCCAATAGTTAATTTTAGAAGCTGGTTTGTGATGGCACAAGACTTTAATCCCAGTATTCTTGGATCCTTGGTAAACACCATCAATTGTGGCTCCCACCTTTAATTCCAGCATATGGGCGGTGGAAAGAGTTAGGGCTAATGTGGGTGGAAACAAAATTCTGGACATTTTGGACTGAGGAATGAAAGAAGTAAGCAACGGGCAGTTGTTTTTGTTTTGTTTGTTGTTTTGTTTTGGTTTTGGTTTTGGTTTTTACGAGACAGGGTTTCTCTGTATTGTTTTCGAGGCTGTCGGTCCAGCCCAGCCTCAAACTCACAGAGATCTGCCTGCCTCTGCCTCCCGAGTGCTGGGATTAAAGGCATGCACCACCACCTCCCGGTTAACAGGCAGTTTTTATTTATTAAGGTTATTTAGTCTAACATCTCTGAAAATTCTAATCATGTATTCTGGAAGACCTCAAATTTTCTCTGTAGCCCAGACTGTCCTTGAACTTAGATTTTTCCTAGTACATTTTTCCAAGTTGATAGAATTACAAGTCTGTGAACCTGATCTGGCTCGTATGTACCCTCTGATAACATTAAGAGTATATGGCTATTATCCTTTGAACATGTAGAGACTCATGGAGAAATTTTGTCTGCTTAGCTTGTTTATGTTTTTTGCTTGTTTTGTTTTTCTTTCCTTTTAAGACATGGTCTTAGATAGCCCAGGCAGGATTTTGAACTTCTGTGTAGTTAATGAAAGCTGGACTTCCACTAAAGATCCTATTTTCTCAATCTCAACGAACAAACAGTCCAGTTGTCACAATGTGTCTTCTAGAAGCAGTAAATGGTCATAACTTTCAAAATCATTCAATTGTAAGGTCAGCAAACTGGGCAACATATCATGCTCCAATTTCTTCTAAATTGACCCTAATTGGGCAGGATCAATATTCTCAGTTCCCATTTCATATAGCAATCTGTCATTTCATATTCATTTGTAAGCAGTGACTAAACAGTGTGGGATCCAGATTAGTCACACCTTTAATGCTAGCTCTCAGGCGAGTAAGGCATGATAATCTCCTTAAGATTAAAGAACTCATGGTCAACATAATGAATTCCAGATGAGAAAACCTGTATAAATTACAAAGGAAACAAAACATTTATGATTGAATCAGTAAGAGTAAGGACTCTCAGGGGTGTGACTGAAATCTGAGTGAAAACAAAGGGTGGGTGTGGGTAATAGATTTGAAGATCAGTTGGCAGGGAGGAGCCAAAGAGTGGGTGGAGAAAACAAGGTGTGGGTGTGGGTAATGGATTTGAAGATCAGTTGGTAGGGAGGATCCAAAGAGTGGGTGGAGACTTTGGGGTCTCCAGAAGGTATATAAGCACTGGTTCCTGGATTCAGGGCTGAACACAGAGAGGTATCTGAGCAAGGTGAAACGACCTACTGATTTCCTGGCAAGTTGAGAACTGCAAGGAAGTTTGTCTAGCTAGGTTGGGGGGAGGTTTTCATGTGGGAAGATGGAGCTAAACGTTTCAAAGGAATGGAAACAGGGTGGAGATTTATGTATATTTAGAGTTTGAAGTTAACCGTATTCCTGGCTTCACGGTTATAAAGTCCTGTGAAAATTCAGGAGGTGTTTTCAGGTTTTCTTTGTAGATATGAATACTGAGAATTACATAAGGGCAAAATGTTGGGCAACCAGAAGAACAGTGGTGATGTGACCCAAGGGTACTGTCACATCTACTATGCTTTCATTCAATGTTCTCCAAAATGGAGGAGACCTGTGCATGATGTTGTCTACCTGATGATAGGGAGCTATGAGTGGAGGAGTTGAGTCTCTGGGATTTCTTACATCTATTTCTGTTTTTATTCCAAGCTTCTCTAGTCTAAGAAGATCTCACAATGGAACCAAATTCCCATGTGATCACAGAATCTCATGTTACCCATGGCTTCTCACTTCCACATGGTCTAAAAATGACTGGACGACAATTTACATTTCCAACTAACATATTCCCTAGCTATTCAGTGAACCCAGTCCCCCACGGTTCTGCAAGTACCTCATCGCCACATTATCCACAAGGTTTCCTAACTTCTCAAGTTCCGACAAAGTCACAAGAAACTTTCAACAATACAAGGAGGCAACAGAAGCACAGAGTGTTCACTGAGGATCAAAATCTGGTACTGCAAGAACATTTTAATAAATGCAAATTCCTGAAAAAGGAGGAATGCATGGAACTAGCCCAAAGATTTGGCTTGGATGAGCACCATATCAAGGTATGGCTTCTCTAGTGTCTGTCTTTATTCTTGTCAGACAGCCTCTTCTCCAGCGGCCTTCTACAAACTTCCGTGACTCCTGCAATTATTGTCCCCCTCAAGTATTGTGGCTACAAAGCCGAACAACATGTCATATAATAAAGATGAAAGGGTGTCTCATGTAGGATTGTCTTCCTCTTATTTGCCTAACACAAAATAGTGGTAACAAACACAGTGATAATGGTGCCCCAATGGGTTTTAATATCCTCTACCTAAGGGCTTCCATTCAAACATCCTCCTTTTCATAGAACATTCCATATTTTTATGGCTTCAAGTCTAGTTCTCCCTGCATTCATCCTACTTGTATCCATTATTCCTAGTCATCTGAGATAGGTGATGCATAAAGAGCAATATCCAGGCATTTCTTCCAGCAACTTTAGATTTAGGGCCTAAGTGCAGCAACCTGCCTCTTCTGATATCTTCTCTTTCTTTCTCTAGATCTGGTTCAAGAACAGGCGCGCTAAAGTGAATCAGAAAAAGGGCCAAGGACAACATTTGAATCCGGGTTGTGGATCACAGGAGATATATGCCTCCCCAACTGCATCTGACCCTCGTGACCCATCAAGCAGTGAAGATTCCCCGTGCCACAACCAATCAAGAATCAGCTGGGCTCCACAACATATCCCCTCAAGTAACTCTTCACAACATGAACCTGATTTCTCCACTGTTGATCACAAGTTTGAGAAGAAATATTTCTGTAATAGTTCAACTAGGGAGATGCAGCAGATGCCTGGGAAACTCAGTCACCAACCAGATGGTAGGTGTGGACTTCCCAAAGGTTGTGTCCCTTTTGAAGGGTCAGCCAAGTCAGAATCTATGTGTGAGAAACCATCAGCTGTCAGTTTTCAAAATTTATCCCTCCATTTGAGTATTGCCCAACACACTGAATCCTTTTTGTCCATGTGTCAGCGACAATCACTTGTGACCACTCCACCTCAACTCAACCCCTTGAACAATACACTAGACCAGACATCGATTTTCTCCAAAATTGATCGGGCCTGTGAGGCAATTAACAAGAAGAGGAAGAGATCCATAGAAGAGGATCAGCAGAGCAAGAAGGCTAGAGATCATTCATGGAAGGGAGGCATTGATTCCAATGCTAAGTCTTCCTGTCCAAAAGACACTGTCCTTCTCATGGCCTCTGCTTGTGGGGATTCCAGGTTACAGAGACAGTTATGTGTCAGTTCTCATCCAGCAGTGTGCCACTCCAATACTTCACCAGACTCAGGGACCATTCTTTCCATGATGGAGAGCACATGCAGAGTTAACTCTCCTCCTCCACTCAATCCAAGTGTTTTCCCAGTACCCGAATCTGTTTTCTCCATTGATGAGATCAATGAAGATCTTTTACACGAAGTCCTGAAGTGTGACCATCCTGGTCAAGACACTACCACTAAAGAAGGAATCCCAGTACAGTCAGCATCTTGTGAATCATCTGCAGACCAAGCTCCAGTCCAAGATGCAGACTCAAGCAAGACTGCCGAATTCAGCACAGCTTCTACAGCAGCTCCAGCGTCTGCCACTAAGACTTGTGGAAGAGGAAGGGAGATTCAATCTGCTATCACCTGTCTAGACAAAGATAATGATCGAGGTTCCTCTACCATTCAGGACAAGCTCTTTATTGAACAACTCTGTGAATTAGATGCCTCTTTAGAAAACTTGTCACAACCTGACTTCTTTGAACACTTCTCACTCCTTGACTTCTATTAAGAACTCTTCATCCTGATGTTTCTGACTATACTGTCCTCAACTACCACACTATATTGATCACAGGCACTTGGTACCAATGCAGTTTGGTTTTCTTTGTTGAGACAACATTGTAATTTCATGTATCTCAGACTGGCCTTTTATGTTCTGGGAACTGTTGGCTTTATTTCCCACATGTTGGCTTTTGTAATTTGTGACTAAGAATTTGAACAAAAAAATCTTAATTTTCGGGTAACATACTTTTTTGTTTATGTTTACTTTCATAGTTACCTTTTTATGTGTACACAATACTTATAAATTGTGCAGGTAGTGTGAGAGAGAATAATTTCATGTAGTAGATTCTGGCCTCGATATTCTGGCTTTTCTGTTTCTGCTCCCATGCTGTGAGATTCCAAGTATGAGCTAATAACCCTGGCCAATGAGCTTCTCTCCAGGAATTAGTGAGATGAATAAAACATTGTGCTATTTATACCTTATGTCTCTCTTACTACTTAGCAATGTGGCATACATTGAGGAAATTAACGTCTCTGGCATTTGATATGGCTCCAAAGAAATTAACATGTAATTTGCACACATGTCAGTCTTCACCATCCTTGTTGTGTGGCCCCATGCTTGCACTGTGGGTGTCTGGCACCACATTCTCGATTCCAAAGGTACCTCCAGTGTCATGTGTACATGCTGTGTTCATACACAAAGTTAATAGTGGAACCCTGAACAGGCCTTGGCTATCTCAATGAATTGATTAAACAGATTAAGCTGAGCTATGTGACCTAAACTTTTAATCCCAGCAGAAAGGATGTACAGGCAAGACAAATTTATACTATTCACTCAAAATAACGTGGGCAATAGAATCTTGTAGGATTTATTTTCCTCTAAAGTCTTAGACCCTGTAATTAAACACAGGTTACCTCATGTTTTTGTCAAATGACTTTAGTAGAATTGTTCCCTCTTGTGACCAACTCACCTCTTCTATTTTTATTTCTACACAGAGTCTCAATAACATACCCAGACAGCACTGATGTGCAGTTTGGTGGGCTCACAAATGAGAGGCTGGCAGTACACAAATATAACCAAAACCCTATTCTGCCAGCCTTTGAGGAATTTCCACATTGTTTCTATTGTATCTGTTCAAGTGTACACTCCCATCATCAGTACATAAGTGTCCCTCTTTGACCACATCTTCACCAACATAAGCTGTCTTATTGTTTTCACCATTCAAAATAGTACCAATTTACCTTGATCTTGTTGCTATTTATGAAATATGTATAAATATGCATATATATGCACACACAAATACACACACACACATATATATTTGAGGGTAGGATGTCAGGTTTAGAATTTCTGTGTGTAGCACTGGCTATCTTGTAAACCAGGTAGAACTGGTGTGACTTGATCTCAGACATCTGACTGCCTCTGCCTGCTGCATGCTGGGATTAAATGTGTGAGCCACTGCTGACTAGCCTGTTGTGTGTTCGTTTATGAGAGTCAAGGTCTCTCTACAGATAGGCCTGGCTCTGCTGGAGCTCTGTGTAGATAAAGCTGGGATGACATTCAGAAAGATCCTTCTTTCCTAGTCTCTGGAGTGCTAGGATTAAAGGGTAAGCCACCACACACACAGTCAATTTAACATTGTTCAAAAAAGCTCCTCAGGCACTTGTGTTTAACTTTTGAGGATTTCTCTTTATGTATATAACCTATGTTTACTTCAAAAGAAAATATTTTATTTAATTTATTTTATTCATCTTATTTCATTGATTTTATTCGTTTTGTGAAACAGGCTTCTTTTGTATCCTGGTTTTCCGGGAACACTTTAGTTAGACCAGGATTTCTCAGAACTCTGAGATTTAAATATCTTTTACTCCCTAGTGCTAAGATTAAAGCTGAGTTTCACCAGGGCCTCTTAGGGATGCTTGTTCTGGCAGTTTATTAAAATTTGGTTGTGTATTCTAAATATTACCCTGTTTTCAGATCTTGATGTGTGATAAAACTTCCCATAGATTCAACTCATAGACATATATCTATTCATCCCAGATAAGGAAATGGTGACAGAAAAAAGAACAGGTGCCACCAAATGCAAATTTGGAAATCCATGAATTTGCTGGATTGTTTACAGGTTTTTGGCCTTTTTTAAAAATGTATTTTTATCTTAGTTGGCGGTTTCCTCATGTGTCTTTCTGGACAAGAGTGTTTTGTACTCAGACCTCTAAACTAGAATGTCCTTAAACTCACAGATCTTCCTACCTCTGTCTACAGAGTTCTGGAATTAAAGGAGGGATTTGCCAAAACTTGGACCTTACCAGTTATTAAAACTTGCTAATATAATCACAGTATAGCTAAGGCTCCAACTTCAGGCCCTAAAATAATTGGCCAAAATGGAGTATATATTATTTGTTGATACTTACCTATTCATCTATTTTTATGAAGAGAAAAACATGCGGTAACATGGCCCCATCATGGGAAAGAGCTGTGGGAGTGGGAAGAATATGAAATCTTATGTATACCCCCATCTAAATTCACATTGGACTATTTAGGTATATGTTTTATATGTAGCTCTAACTGCCATGGAAAAGTTTTTGTAGACAAGGGTAGCCAGGAAGTAAAAAAATCCCACTTTCCATGCATTTTGAGACTTTGGATTGAAAGTAGATTTTATTCCATGGTTATTAAAATATATTTTATGTAATATTCTACTCATAATTCAGTGATCACTTTTCTCTATATCACTAAATTTTCTGACCAGGAAAAAGCTTTTGTCAAAAAAATTTGTAACTTGTCCACTGTCATCCACTTTTGACTCTAAAACCTTCACATGAGATTGAACATAATTTAAAAAGTTTCTCTGGAGAGGTTTCTCAGCAGTTAAGGGTGCTGGCTGCTCTTAAAGAGGTATTGAGTTTAATTCCCACAAACCACGTGGTGGTTCACAATCATTTATTTTGTAATCTGTTACTTTTTGTGGTATACAATCATACATGGAGGTAGGATTCTGGATACATAGTAAAAGAAATTTTAAAAGTTTCAAGAAATCCTCTTGTGTTAAGAGAAGCTTTATCTTGTGAGAAAAGCCTTTCCGCCAGCCTGGTTCTAGATCCACATCAGTCCCAAATAAACACACAGGAGGCTATATTAATTATGAAGCTGTTGGCCTTGCTTGTTTCTTACTGGCTACCTCTGCCTTAAGTAATTACCCCATAACTGTTTTTTTTGTGATGAATTGTGCCGGTATTTTGATGGGAATTGTCTTGAATCTGTAGATTGCTTTTGGCAAGATTTTCATTTTTACTATGTTGATCCTACCTATCCAAGAGCATGGGAGGTCTTTCCATTTTCTGGTATCTTCTTTAATTTCTTTCTTTAAAGACTCAAAGTTCTTGTTATACAGGTCTTTCACTTGTTTGGTTACAGTTATCCATAAATATGTAATGTTGTTTGGGGTTATTGTAAATGGTGATGTTTCTCTGATTTCTTTCTCAGCCCCTGTATCATCTGTATATAGTAGGGGTACTGATTTTTTTATCATTTTTTATTTTAATTTTAAATAGCTTGTTTTACATGTCAATCCCAGTTCCCTCTCCCTCCCCTCCTCCCGCACTCCCCTTCCCCCTCCCTCCCACCCTATTGCCAAATCCTTCCACATAGGGGATATCTAGAGTCTGTCATTTTACTCTTGGTAGGGTCAAGGCACTCCCCTAAGAGTCCAGGCTGAGAGAGCATCTCTCTTTGTGCTATAGGCACATGAAGACAGTTTGTATACCAGGGATAGACACTGATCCACAGCTCAGGGCCCCATAGGTTGCCCAGGCCTTCTCACTGACACTCACATTTGGGGGTCCAGATCAGTCCCATGCTGGCCTCCCCACTGTCGGTCTGGGGTCCAAGAGCACTCCCCTGTTCAGATCAGCTGTCTCTGCTGGTTTTGCCAGCCCATTCTTTGCCAATTTGCTCATCACTCCTCTCTCTCTGTCACTGGGTTCCTTGGGTTCAGTTCAGTGCTTAGTTGTGTGTTTGCCTCTGCTTCCATCAGTCACAGGATGAAGGCTCCTGGATGGTTATAGACATCAAGTTCATTATCAGGAATGGGCATTCGAGGTGGTCCCTCCACTATTGCTTAGCTTGCCAATTGATGTTATACCTTTAGATCACTCGAGGTCACTCTGGTGCCTGATCTGTCTTCGATCCTATGATTCCCTCTTCCCCTATTCTACCCCCACCCCCTCAACTTCCTGTTCCCCCATGACCAACTCCCTTCCTCTTTACCCCTCTATTCTTCCCAGGTCCCACTCCCCCCACCCTCGCCGTGTTCCCCATCCATTCAGAGGATCTTGTCTCCATCCTCTTCTCTTGGGTACTATGCATATATGCATATCTTTTAGGTTCTTTCCTGTTTCCCAGACTCTCTATCTGTGGAAGTGCAGACTGGCACTATCCTGATCCATATCTAAAATCCATATATGAGTGAGTACATACCATGTTTGTCTTTTTGCGACTGGGTTACCTCACTCAGGATGGTTTCTTCCAGTGCTATCCATTTCCCTGCGAATTTCAAGATTCCATTGTTTTTTTCTGCTGAGTAATACTCCATTGTGTAAATGTACCACATTTTCTCTATCCACTCTTCAGTTGAGGGGCATCTAGGTTGCTTCCAGGTTCTGGCTATTACAAACAATGCTGCTATGAACATAGTGGAGCAGATGCCCTTGTTGTATGAACCTGCCTCATTTGGATAAATGCCTAAGAGTGGAATTGCTGGGTCTAGTGGTAGATTAATTCCCATTTTCCTGAGGAATCTCCATACTGATTTCCAAAGAGGCTGTATGAGTCGGCATTCCCACCAGCAGTGGAGGAGTGTTCCTCTCTCTCCACATCCTCTCCAGCATAAATTGTCTTCGGTGTTTTTGATTCTAGCCATTCTGACAGGAGTAAGATGGTATCTCAGAGTTGTTTTGATTTGCATTTCCCTGATGGCTAAGGATGTTGAGCACTTTCTTAAGTGTCTCTTGGCCATTTTAGCCTCCTCTACTGAGAATTCTCTATTTAGCTCTGTACCCCACCTTTCAAGTGGATCCTTTGGTGTTTTGGAGACTTGTTTCTTGAGTTCTTTGTAAATTTTGGAGATTAGCCCTCTGTCAGATGTAGGGTTAGTGAATATCTTTTCCCATTCTGTGGCCTGCCTTTTTGTCTTTTTGACTGTGTCCTTTGCCTTACAGAAGCTTTTTAGTTTCAGAAGGTCCCAT